TCTCTCTCTCTCTCTCTCTCTCTCGGTGAAAATCAGAGAGACACTCTGTGAGAAACACTAGCACTTGGCGAAAATTGCGAAACCGAATCCGTATATATGGAAAGCGAGGTTCTATAAAAAGATAGAGAAAGAGACATAGACAACCAGTGGCCAATTTTACCCCAAATTCTGCTCCGCGCAAAAACTGCCATAAATCTCGCCACTCTCTGCAATTCCAAGATCGAATTTTATTTTCAACGAAAGACCTTGACGATCACGTTGCGAAAGCTACGCCCGAGCAGCTCGATCGATCGGTATCGGTTGAGGCCCCTGTCCCAACTAACGTACGGCACGATGTCGACTATATCGACGACGAGGAGGCCCGACACAGTGTCCTAAAACAGGCAATTAGCCCGCTTAATCCATCGGGGCTTAATCCGCGGCTGTTCCAAGTTATTTTCCAACATCGAGCGCAGAAAGGGCCAGTTGGTCGGCTGCCAAGCCCGACGAAGACAGGAAAAGCTCTTGGGCCGGCACCAACGGCAACAAGCTGCCGTGCGATTCATCCTCCGACTCTTCTCTTTCCGTTCTTATTTTTTCCCTCATTGTTATGAAATTACACGCGTTTCGTCAGACGAGAGAGAGAGAAGAGAGGCACGTCACGCTACACCAAATATCCTGGCACCATGTCAGCCGGTGATCTAGTCAATTTTAGCATCCGTGTAACCGCGAGGCCACTCTCCTCGACCACGCTTCGCAAAATTCGATGTGAGGCAGCCCCTGCTCCCCCGGAAAACGATCGAAGATCCGCGGCAAGTGTGTTTCGACACACTGCGGTCCTTCCAGAAACGTTTCAAGGGGATCAAGATTAGAACTGACTAATCGTTGGGGAGGCGAGATTCTCGCGTGGAATTTCGCAGAGTTCCAATTGGCGGCCCGATTAATAACTTCGGATTTCACGAATCTGTTTACAACTCCCCTCTATTTCGATCGCGCGGTATCGGGTTGCCTGAGTAAAAATAAAGCGGACACGGGCTAAGAA